CACTGTTTTGTTCATTGTACCTACTCTTGTACCTGCACAAAATCAAATTCAAGACAATGCTTAACTAACAACACAACCTTCTAATACTTTAATCCAATCCGAAACTTTAATTCAATCCGAAGCTTTAATTCAATCCAAAACTTTAATACAAAAGTCGCTTACACAACCAAATCCACCAATTCCAAAATTATCAAAATCGTATTAGCTAGAATTATATTTCAATATCAAAATCCCAAATCCATTTAATCTTTAATTGAATCGACCTACACGACCTTTCACATCTACAACTCACCTCAATCACGAAGCTTAAAGCTTCAATTGTGCTAGCTCAAAAACCGTCAATTGCGAGCTCTGGGAATCGCCAATGTCCAGCTCCAGAAATCGACCTTGCCAGAGCGTACTAAACAATGTCGACCTTGTCGAAGCTTTTGCGAACTTCCACAAGCTCGCCGGAGCTCCTACCTTCTACGATCTCGACCACGACGAAGCCAAAGTAAAACGATTTAGGGATTTCCCGATTTCAGCTCTCCCGCGATTTCCGTCCTTCCCCTCCCCCCATTTGGTTTTTATTAAAACAAAATTCAGACAAAGACAAATTCATTAAGGGTAGTTTTAGTTTTTAGCACTTAATTAGTTATTAGGAGTAATTTAGTGTTTGAAGGAGTATAGCAGAGAGGAGCACACCCGGTTTTGGAGCACACCCGGTTTTGGAGCAAATCAGAGGATCGTCCCTTGAAAAAGAACAATTTATCTAGGTCCTACCTTCATTGATTAATTTTCTTTTATCATTTTTGATCCTTGGCTATTAAAATTTATTTCACTCTATATACTAAACCATTTCATTATTCACAATATTTAAGAATGTTTTTGTTTTTAATTATAAAATGTTTTCAATCTTCTTAGGCAAATTAATATAGTATTGAACTATTGTTCATAAAAATTAAAAAATTCAAAAAATGCACATCTGATCTCCTTCCCTCCTCCCTCTACCATCTACGGACTCAGTCCCATTATAAAAAATCTTTTTAGAGTTATTTTTAAGATTTGTTTAATTTTTTTTGTTAGATATTCTTCGTAAACTTAATGCTACTATCTTTTTTCTTCCTTTAGAATTGGGTTTCCCTCGAGTATCATGGACTTCAATCGGACTTAAGCGCCATATATCTTAAAGGAATGATGGCGAATGGGAACTCTTCAATTGAATTCAACATGATCCCATATGATGTTTTTCTTTTTTACTGAGTTTGCTTAAGACAGTTTGTGTTGTTTCCCTTAATATCTCCTTGTATTTTGTTGAAGTGAGGTTTATATCAACTCGATGTCCCGTGGAGAAAGAAGCAGAAACTCTGAATCGAAAGATTCATTGAAAAGGTGCCAAAACTCTTTCTTCTTTTCAATATATCGGTTTACCTTTTCTTATTTTACCAAATGTCTAGTCGCGTGTATCATCCAGACAATGTGCACCATTTCTTAAGTGTTCCTTAAAGATATAGCCTTCTGCTTTCAGGATCTTGGCGTCGCTTCCGCTTGAAGACAGTGTGCAAAAGCTGCTCTGCCAGTTTGGTAGCTATTTGTTTCAACGAATACTTGCGTTAAATTCCGTTATTTTGTGTTTTCTTAGATCAATTTTATATAGATCAATTTTATATTGATCTTGCTCCTAAGCTGTGAGTACAAGTATAAGCTATCTAGCTAATTTGTTCAACCACATGAGGGACCACCGTTATTTCGATACAATGTTCTTAAGCATCATGCTCCAGAGTTGTCAGACGAGGATTTTTTAAGGGTCCTCCAACAATATGCCAGGTGGGTAGCTATTGTTTCAACGAATACTTGTGTTAGTTTCCGTTCTTTTGTGTGTTTTCTAGATGAAGCTTTTATTGTTTTCTAGAAAGATTCATCGAAAAGATGCAAAATCTTTTAATCATATTTTTCGATATATTTGTTTCTCTTTTCTTATTTTACCAATGCATGGTCTTGGTAGCGCATGAATGATGTATAACATCAACTTTACCAACTGCAAGTTTATTCGTTTAGCCTACAAATAGATACAATGGTTAAACCATTTCGCCTAGAATCGTCTTCTCGATGATAAGATTCATGCCATAATTACCTTGTCATAGAGCCATCGATTTGATTTAATTGTAATCTGAACCTGTCGTTGCAAGTTTTTTCTCATATTATGGCTATCCATTTATGTGATTCTTATCGCGGTAGTGACATTTGGTATATGGTTAATTGATCGAGTACTCGTTATTGAATTCGACAAGAGGACCTCTTCGTGCATTGAAAATTGTTCAAAAATGTGTCTCAATTAGCTTCCTAATATAGGTGAGGAAAATCACACTCATGGATGGACATTACCCA